AAGCCCAAAGGTTGTTACATATATTATTAAGCAGATCATGAAGACATGTGGTGTAACTAAATGTATTCATAAGTTTGAACAAGCAAACTAAAGACTTTAACTGTTTTCAGTTAGGGACATGTCTATAATCAAATTGCCACAAATGACAACAACACATCAAATTGATATTTTGATCTATTCTAAACTTACCCACCTATATATATGAATAAATATTGGAAACTTATTAAAGTACCAGCTAATTTGAAAGTTAATTATACACAAAGGTCAAAGTATACTATTTGGCATTACAATAAACAATATTTAATATAAAGGCTGAGTCAAATGCAAGCATTTCTATAAAACTAATGTTGTTTTAATTCAAATATTGTCGAAGCAAATTGAAATTTTAAGCTGGAACATGTGTTCAAAATTCACGAATGAAGATAGTAAATATTTCCTTTCAAAATTGCTCTATTTATAAATAAAACATAACAAAATTCTTACCTGGATGTTACCCAGTCATTCCTGATCTTTAATCTTTTAAATAAATATTACTTTCGCTCAATAAATGCTCTGTATTTGAGTATTTCGAGCGGAAAGTTTAAACTCAAAAATTTTTAAATATGGCGTTGTGAATTGTGACGCTATCCCAGAAAGCTTTGCGCGCGTTGTTGGAAAATTAGGCACCAGTGTGTGAGTCTGTCAAACCGCGCTCTTCGTGAGAATTTTTGGTGGTGTTTTGTCAAGAGACAAAATTCCTACCTCCACAAAGACTACAGATATTTTTGTAAATATAATTTCAATGAACTCATAAAAAATTTAAAATTAACTCAAACTGGTAAATTTTGACCAGTTAAATAAATACATTTACCCTTCTCAATTCTCACAACTTTCTAAGAATAGGAAATAAATAGCTTTTTAAGATCTAATTATTTTGCTATTTATTAGCTATTTTAACAATAGCTCTAAAAATAAAAGTAAACATAGCTATTTTTAAACTATCTAATAGCCATTTGAAGAAACTTCGCCACAACTTTCTATGAATAGTTAGATCATTACCAAAGAAAATTGACGAACTCCAGCAAATTGCAGAGTTAAACTCTGCAAGTGTTATTTGCATTACTGAATCGTGGCTATCACCTGACATTTCTGATCATTGCGTATCTATCCCTGGATTCAACTTATTTCGTAGGGATCGCATAGGATCTTCTGGTGGTGGGGTCTGTGTATATTTGGATCGTAAAATACCTTGTAACCGTTTGAATTCATTTGACCAATCTGATGTAGAATCAATTTGGACTTCATTAAGACCACATAAACTCCCAAGAGAAATTACATCCATTATTCTAGGAGTAAAATATCATTCAACATCCAATAAAGAACCTGAGAATGTTGTCCTTAGAGACCATGTGCAGAATAACCTTGACTCATTACTCTTTAAGAAACCTAACGCTCTTCTTTTACTTACAGGTGACTTTAATCCCACGTCTACAGGTTTTAAAATGAAATATATCACACAAGTGAACCATCTTAAACAACTTATATCTTTTAAAACCAGAGATTCTGCCGTATTGGATTGGCTGTTAACAAATAGACCTAAGATGTTTGAAGTATCTAGATTGCCAAAGGTTGGTTCGTCTGACCACTATACGATCTTAGCAAAACCAAATATAGCATTATCATCTAAACAGACTATTACCAAAATTAGAATCCGGGACATGCGGAACTCTGCGTGGTATGCCTTTGGACGATGGATAACCAAAAAAAAACTGGTCATCGGCATTAAGTGCGAGTACGAGCAAAGATAAATTTGACCTCTTTATGTCAGAGCTTGACCAAGCAGTTGATAGCTTTCTCCCACAGAAAATGATTAAAAAGCATCCGACAAATCGACCGTGGATTACTAATACGATAAAACTGTGGTTTTCTAGACGCCAATGTGCATTCCAACAACAAGGAAAAAATTCTAAAGACCATAGTTTTTGGAGGAATAAGGTTCAACGTGCGATCCAGTCAGCAAAATCCGATTACTTTCATAGTAAGGTAGCAGATGTTGATAGAGTTAACCCGGTAAAGTGGTGGAAAGAGATTAAAAAAACTATCAGGTCAAAATATCCGACAGGAATGGTATCATCAGTTCCTTGATAACAACATGGATATAGATTCCCTAGCTAATAAAGTCAACGACTTCTTTGTTAGTCTTACAGATCACTTCGCCCCTCTGAGCCAACCAACTCCACCTATGCAAATCCCGGAAGAATTCTTGGTTACGGAAAGTGAGGTGTTTAAAGCATTAGCATCACTGCAAATTAGTAAGGCGATTGGCCCTGATAATATCCCAAATAGAATGCTGAAAGAGTTTGCTCCTGAACTGGCTCCAGTCATTCGTAATATTTACAACCAGTCAATGAAAGAAGCGAATATCCCATCACCACTTAAGTCATCTATCGTAATTCCAGTTCCGAAGATATCACTGTAGCGAGCGGACACGATTTATATGAACAAAATATATTTCTTAAACTAGCAATACAACAACAACGTGGCTTAACACAGCCCACGCTATTTATGTGATTATCATGCATAACTAATTACTGTTTATGGTAATATCGTCACATCCTTTCTCGTTTAACAAAGACAAAAGTTTATCCAAACCCTAAATTAATAAATAACCTAATAACTAACTGTTTCCACTGTCTTATTAATTAATATACCCTATATAATGTCTCTAAATTTAATGTCTCTAAATTTAATGTCTCTAAATTTAATGTCTCTAAATTTAATGTCTCTAAATTTAATGTCTCTAAATTTATATATAATTATATTAGATCCTAAATTCCAATGCCTGATACGTTTTACTTATGCTTGATACCTGTCCGGTGGTTTTCTGTCTCTGGTTGATCTCCTTAATGATACTGGGTCTTCCGGGCCAGTCATTGAATTACTAGTAGAGACGATTGGCTTACAAAATGTCTGGCACTCTGCATTATCCGAGGGTCTCCCCGAATCTCGAAACTTTTCCGCGGTTTTCCTAATATGACGCCGATTTCGTGTGTAGGTTCTTTCACCGCAACGCACTTCGTACGAACGAGGACCAACTTGCTTAATACAGGTTCCAAGAGACCATTTCTGCTCTTCTGGCAATCTCATGCGAACGATTTCCCCTGCTTCCAGAGGTACTAAAATACGAGCTTTCACATCGTAATTTTCTTTCTGCTTCTCTTTCGCTTGTTCAGCGCCAGTTACAACTTTCTCAGCATCAATGACACGAGGTTTCAACAGATCTTTTGTCATTGGAAGGCAAGTCCTAGTTCTTCTCGAAAACAATTTTTGTGACGGACTGACACCATCCCGTTCACTGGGTGTATTCCTAAACTCCAACAATGCAAGGTGAACATCAGCTTTCGACAAGAACGCTTTCTTCATCAATAACTTACAGGTTTTCACTGAATTTTCGACCTTTCCATTGGATTGGGGATACCGAGGAGATGACGTTAAATGCTCAAACTCCCACTCATTTGAAAACTCCCTGAACTCTTTGCAAAGAAACTGAGGACCGTTGTCGGTAAACACTGTTTCTGGAATCCCGTGACGACTGAATTGCTCCTTCAACTTCTTAACAACTGCCGTCGTACTACTGGTCGTAGTAGTACTCGTTAAATAATCTACTTCAAAAAAATTAGAAAAATAGTCAACTGTTATCACGTAATTTCTGTTTTCAAAAAATAAATAAATCAACTCCCACCTTAGACCATGGCAAAGCAGGTGAGTCATGAGATATAAGTGGTTCTTTGCACTGTTTCGGTTGATACGTGTTGCACACTGAACATTTCGATACCAACTCTTTAACTTGACTCGACATTTTAGGCCAATATAAAATTTCTCGAGCTCTTCTCAAGCAGCCTTCGACTCCAAGATGGGAACTATGCAGTCGTTTAGTCATATCTTCTCGTAACGTTTGTGGAACTACAATTCTTCCTGACTTGAAGAGAAGACCATTTTGATACGAGATCTCACTCTGAAGCGAATAATACGGAATAACATCAGGTGGTAGATATTGTTTTGACGTTGACCAGCCTTTCTCAACATATTCACGAACTTTCTGAAGCACAGGATCTGCAGCTGTTGCACGTCTAAGCTCGTTTAACCTTTCATTAGAGATTGGTAAATGTGCCACCAAATTGGTTTCTTCTAACTGAGCACAAAATTCGTTTCCAGCG